GGAAAGGAAAGAGAACCAAACCAGGAAGATGGAGGCTGCCTTTGTTGTTGCCCTCCCTCAAACAGTGGTGTTTTTTATTTTATTTTATTTTATTTTTGTCGCTGCACTTCCTACTTAGTTACAAGGGAAATGGCTCTTTCTTTACCTCTCTTTCCTTCCTTCTTGCGTTTTCTTTTCTCTTCTTGCCTTTCTCTTTTTCTTCCTTTTCGTTCTTCCTTTGTAAATAAAAACTTTTCCCTTTGTTGAAAAGTTTTTATGTATTAAACTACCTACCATGCCTGCTGCGCTCAGGTGTTTGTTTATCCCCCGTCCTCACCCTTTTTCTACCTCAAATCTATATGACCACTCACTGCCCCCTCCCTTTGCAAAGCAGTATCTATGCTCTTGACTAATAAAACATTTTCTGAAATCAGCAGAAGCCTGTGTGGTATCTTGGCGGGTATCCCCACCCTGCTCCATCGTTTCTGCTAGTTGGAGCACCTCCTATTCTACTTCTCTTTTGATAAATGCCAAGCCAAACTGCAAATCAAATCAAGGGAAGGGGGCAGATAAAGGATTTACTCCTGGAACAAAGAGTAGAGTTCTCCTTAGAAGATAATGGGGGGGGGCGGGGACAGGATAGATTTAATGAACCCACAGAAGACTGGAAACGAATTAGATCCAGAGGGGATGAGCTAGGACTTTTGTGGGTCAGCATTTGGGCCCGTGTGTGGGTTAGTAGGCACATCGGTGTCTGCAGGCCGCGGTTTGGGGTTATTGGGAAGGGGGTCTGTCACACAAACGAAGGACAACGCGAAGTCAGGGTAGCTCGGAACAGGGGAATGCCCTCAGGAATACTTTCCCGTATGTGAAATTCTGAACCTGCAGTTTGCACGTGTCATGGTGCAGGAACTCACACGGAGCCCCGTGTCTGAGCGGGGGCCAACGAGGGGCTGCGGAGCACAGTCCCAGCACGCGGTAAGGACTCGGCAAGGCGCAGCAGCTATGATTTTATATACATGAGTGAAAGAAGCGTGTGAGTGCTCATGGTCAGAGTGAGACGTTTAGGTTTCTTTCTAGCAACAAATCACTCAAGTATCTGTGAGAATATATGGATTTGTGCAAAGGGATGGGGGGGCGGTATGTGCAGGCTAATTCGGGCACTTAAGAAATGTGCGGAGAGCAGTTTCCGAGCCTCCACGTGCGCACCCCCACGTGGCTAGGTGTAGGGGTGAATAAAAACGGGTGCATTCGTCAAGGCGCGGGTGCGTGCTGGGCTGAACTGGGGCGGGCAAATGCAGGCGTTTCTGTGTCCCTGAATAACAGCGTACGGACAACCAGTGTGGTTTGTGCGCAAGCGTGTGCGAGGCTCTAGGCTAAGCGCTTTTATGTCTCCTAATAGCTCGCACGATCCTCCGAGGGAGCTCATGGTCTGCGGTGCCTGCACGGCCCCCGGAGCGCGCTGCGAGCGAGGCGTTAGGACGCGCGCGGGTCTCTCGGCGCTTTCTCGCTCCACATCCGGAGCTGGAGGCCCGGGCTTGGGGCCGAGAAAGGAAACCCTGGGTAGCTCCGGGGCCAGGCGTGCCCCAGGCGCCTCGTCCCGGCATCGGGGTGAATATGGCGCCCCAGTAGTTTGGGCTGTAAACACCGTGGCAGTGCTGAGCGGCCGCGCGGGCCTTTCCGGACGCGAAGCAGTTAATAAAAGGTGTTTTATGGGCGCGAGGAAACGGCGGCGGAGGTATGAGCTTCTCTCTACTCTGACCCCCTACTTTTTCCTTTATTCCCTCTCGCCACCCGCCGCCAGATCAAACAGGCCCGCGATTTAACTAGGGCAACACCTCGCGGTAACGAGCAGTCCTGGCACACCCCTCCCCCGGCCTCAGTACCCGGCACGGGGACCCAAGGCCCCTCCGGGAGGGGCAGAAAACAAAAATAGACTTTTCCTTTTTTCATTTTCTTTCCAAGAGCTGGGAAGATCCTAAGAAATCCGGAGAAAGACTCAGGGAGCAAGACGACTGAGGTGCCCCAGCCCGGAGGGGACCTTTCCTAGATTTGAACCCAGGACTCCAGTTTAGTTTACAGACCACTCTCTGGCTAAACACAGAGCACGCCGCCCGCGACTATTTTTAGCACCATGAAGTATCCCAGGCACGGGAAGAATGCGCACCCGGGTCTTGCTTTCTTGTAGCCCTGGCCAGTGAAAGGAGAGAGGGGTACCGAGGGGTACCGCCCGTGGCAGCCAGAGCCAAGTTTGGCATATAAACAGGCCTCCTCCGAAAACCCCATCCGGCCAGGTGCAAACCCTCTTGGAGAAGACAGCGGAGGAACCTAACATCCCAGCCATGTCTGGTCCTGATCTCAGACCTAACACCCAGAAGCTGAGACAGGGGGCCAGTGCCCATTGATGGGGTCACCGGGATATCTTCCCAGTTTCCCCAAGCCTTACTTCACCGCCTAGAACGCCCGTGCCACATTTCCAGCCCTCACTCCCCGACTGCAAAAGCCGAGCCCCCAGCACAGAACAGAGTTGCTCCCGGTTTCACAAACCAGTTTTCGCCAAGGGCTCCGGATTCGGGGTCCAGATCTTCTCCCCGCACTGGGCTCTAACTCCCTTCATCCGTCATTAGCTCTCCCTCCGTGGAATAGCTTTAGAGCCTGCCTTTTACTTTCTTATTCTCTCGCAGGTTTCAACGCGGTTTGTCCGAAACCCACCTCCACCTGGCTGTGGCAGATGGTATCATTTTTCATTTGAATTAAGGACATAACATTTTTTTTTAATCTGGGGGTGGGGGAATGGAATGATCACTAACTTCAAAGCAAATTCCAGGAATTTGTCGTAAGGAAATACTAACTGATGTTACGAAGCTTTAACTAAAGGACTAGTCTACTAAAGAGTAAAAAGTATAAAGGGACCTCCAAAGTGTTATAATTACAGAACTGTTTAAATAAATCCATCAGTGGGTTACTACTCAGCCCCTAGAAAAAATGTGGTAATTGATATGGAGAGTGTTCCTGATACAAGTGAGGGAAAACAAAACCCTCTCAGCTTACTAAAGCAGGCAGTGACCTGCTTTACGTAAAAATAAGTACATAAATATCATTCATGGAGAAAAAGTGGAAGAATATACATCAAAACATTTACACCTCTACCTCTGAGTTGTGGGAATAAGGATAATTTTGACGTTTCCTCCTACTTAGCCATATATATATATATATATATATATATATATATATACTACAATGAATAAGTATTACTTTTGCAATAAAAACTTACGCTGAAATTTCCTTCTAATTTCTCCTGTGGCCAGTGTAGTTTCAGTACGCTGTTTATTCAACATGCATAAATTGAGTGCCCACCTTGTGCTCGGCACTGTGGGTATAAATAGTGAATAAGAAATAATCCTAATAATTACTATCAATTAATATACAATAGTAAATATTTGTCTTGAAGGGTTTATTATTCCTTCCACACAGTACATGTAGTCTTTTTCTCACATTTAAAACCTATAATACAGGAAATAATAACAGTTATATTTTATTAAGGAAATTTATTTAAGCCTTTAGCATGTATTATTTCATTCAAGCCTCACAAGGATTGTGCGAGGTTAATAATCAGGCAGCTGAGGCTCAGAGAGGTGAAGAACTTTGTTCAAGGTTATACATAGGAGGTAAAAGGCAGGCTGGGCTTGGATGAAAGGGCAGGTCTGGCTGTCTCCAGAGACTTGGCTTTTCCCCACATCTTGAAGCACCTCCAAGTTGTGTGTGTGTGTGTGTGTGTGTGTGTGTGTGTGTGTTTACAAATACAGCCTCTCTTAGTCTGATCTTCTTTGGTCCCCAAAGTAAGTAGAGAAAGAAAGAAGGGGGTTTGTGAAGGGATCTGGGATTCTAACTCCAGGCTTCCCCTGGAACCCTCTTCCTCTGTCCTGGATCAGAGTGGATCCCATCTATAAAATGAGGAAGGGGTGGGCTCCTTGACCTCTAGGTTCTTTCCTAACTGTAAAACTGATTCTAGGAATATACTTTCTGCTGGTGAAAAACTCAGCACTTTATTCTTTGCACCAGCCTGTGATGTTTGTATAGTGCATTCACCTTTCCTTGGTACTTTCACTTCTTTGAGCACATTTTTCTCCTTATAAACTAGAAGGGAGAAGGGCAGGAATTATGCTCCCCATGGATGGAAGAAGACTC